ATTATAGTTATAATAAAAAGAACATGTACATCATAAATATACATATATATATACACACACACATATATATGTACACACACACACACACACACACACACACATGCATATATATATATATATATATATATATATATATATATATATATATATAAAAATATAATAATATTTTATTTGCCCTGTTCATTTGCGGAAACATGTTCAATATCAAGATTTGTGAGTATTTCCATATAGACAATGTGCACATAGAAATCAACATTGCATAATGACTTGTACTTTTACATCTTATGATAACTGCCAACACGTAATGTTCCATACTATCTATTAACCTATCTGTCTGTCTAGCTATTTATCATGATTAATGTGAAAGAATATAATTCGTAATAAGATAAAATAGTTTACTTTATATTTAAGTCTGTGCAGTGGGTCCTTCTTTTGATTCACAACAATCCTCGCTTGTTTCACGCTTGGATGCAATTTTAAGCCTTAAGATTGCGTTTAAGCATGACTGTTGCTGCTTGCTGGTGACATAAACATCAGTTTTTATATTTACATACGCTCTGTCTTTGATATTGAGCACTTTTATACTGAAATATCGCATACCTAAAAAACTATATTTTTATCACACACACACACACACGTGTGCACGCGCGTGCGCACACACACACACACATATATATATACACATATATATATATATATATATATATATATATATATATATATATATATATATATACATATATATATACGTAGATACATTTAGATTTTTAATTTTGGCCGACATGCCACAATATTTGCTATAATAGACAGTTCCTCAGAAAATCTTTTCTTCATTAATTATATCAATACTTCGCTCCTATTAAACTTATAATGCTGCTACACACTTTTTAATCCTTGACAGTCAATAGCACCTGATCAGTGATATGCGTGAACAAAAACTATGTATATAGTAATGTGCGTATATATATATATATATATATATATATATATATATATATATATATATATATATACATACACACACATATATATACACACATATTATATATATATATATATATATATATATATATTCATACAGTCTATTTCTGATATTGAACACATAGATATATGCTCAACTGATGAATAAAGCATTTTCTTAAAAAATATATATATATATATATATATATATATATATATATATATATATATATGAACACTTTATAACCTTCTATATTTATCAGAAAAAATCTTCCATATTGCACTACGTTATCATCGCCCCCGCAAAAAAAAAAAAAAAAAAAAGAAAAAGAAATACCGGAATATATACATATACTTATCAATGCTTTTATTTAAGTTCTCAATGTCGTAGATCTGTATTTTTATATTTTGGCGCCGTATTTTTGCACTTAACTGGAATTGTGTGTGCATTCAGACACCTGGATGACACTAGTTGTGGGGACTGTAATTTTTTTTTTCTTGTGGGTGGGTCGTAGGCACCACGTGTAAAACAAAAATGTGGCACAAAATTCAACGTGTAGTAAGAACGATGGGCCGCTGAAAATCTATTTCTTTAACGCACTTCTCAGATCAATATTTCAATAACCACAAATCAGAAATCTGAAATTTTTGCGATATTTATTGGACCGACAACATTTCTTTCTCCCCCCTCATAAATACAACATCAGATTTAAGTTTGTGTACACTTTGGGAAAAGTGTTACACACACCCACACACACACGCGTGCGTGCAGAGAGTGAGTGAGAGAGAGAGATAGAGAGAGATAGAGAGAGAAGCATACCACACCACACCAACACACACATAGATATATTCACAGATTATACCGTAATTCCCCATGTATAATACACCTTCAACCATAATACGCACTCCTAAAATTTTCCTAAAAGTGTGGGAAAATGCTTCTACTCATGGATAATACGCACCCTTATAAATTGTACCTTTCCAATTTTATTACGGCCAGCGTTTCCTGTTCTTAATTAAAAATTGTTTTAAACATAGAATAATATCATTCTAATTTACTTTTATGATAACTCTTATTTTATTTTACATTTGTAAGTATTGTTAGGTACATATGATTATATTTGACATCCTTATGGGGTCGCAATCGCCGAATGTTAATGTCAAATTGTCGTATGTTTGTGGTCAGTAGTCATTTCGCAACTGGAATCGACCTATGAAACGGCAATTTTTTGAAGATTTTTTGTAGCTGTGCATAATACGCACCTCTAATTTTGGTTATTATTTTTTGAAAAAAAATGCGTATTATACATGGGGAACTACGGTAAATTATTTTTCAAACATAAGACTAGCTTCGGCTAAATAAATGGACAATGAATGTGTGAAGATTGTGTTGCTTCAAGTTTATACAATTTCTTTCCTTCGGCCAATGGGCGCTGTGTTGAACTCAGTTAAATATCTTGCGGTGCATAAAATGATTAACTCAGCACATTAAATTTGCAACCGCATCTTGCAAGCCAAATTATTATTAAATTTCCTGTGAGTATTACTGGCTGTCCAAGCATCGTAGCCTTGTTTCTGAATAAAATAAGTAACCGAAATAACTCTTTCTCTCTCTCCTTCTCAACCTCTCCCTCCCTCCCTCTCTCTCTCTCTGTCCACAAGTCTGTAGGTAAAGACGTAAAATAAAATCTTTATTTCATGTTAGTTGATGGAGAAAAATATGTGAAATGGCCCTAAGAAACTTTATGTTTCTTTAGCTAAATCACTGACCAATATAAAAGATTTAATTTGTTCAAATTCTCATTTGGGCAGTTCCTCATATTAAATATATATATATATATACATACATACATACATACATACATATATATATATATATATATATATATATATATATATATATATATATATATATATATATATATATATATATATTTGGTTGGATTGATGTGAGTTTGTGACCCTGGGTTTCACGCTTTTGCGATCGTCAAACAGCGTTCCATTTGGTCTCGATGAATCAGGATACACACCGCGCTTTCGCTTACGATGATGCCATTTTTTTTTTTTATTAAGACTCAATGATCAATAAGAAACACTTTTAACATATTTTACCTGAAAAGACAAACAACGGTAAATTAAAAAAGAACAAACTATATATAATTTATCATGCAAAAAAATATATTGATGAACCTCAAATTTAATTTAAACTGTGGAAATAATACAAATAATTTATGAATAATCTGTATATATATATATATATATATATATATATATATATATATATATATATATATATATATGTATGTATGTATTGGCCATGTTAGGGGGAGAAATAATTAACAGAAACAGTAATACAAACATATACAAACGGGTGTGTTCCAGCCAGAATGTTCGGTTGACTGCTGGAAACTTCCCGATATTTATTTCTGTTTAAAATACAGAAAATGTGGCACAAATCCAAAAAGGAGGGGCAGGGAAAAGGACGGTTTTCATCTGTCTTCACTTTAAACTTAGCTAGCCACAAACACTGACCCAGACATGCAAACAATATTCCTAACAGCAAAACAACGCATTCTTACTTATCTTTCTTCCTACATTCACCATAATACCTCAATGTCTCTATGAAAATCCTGAATAGACACCATACGTACAATTCATTGTCTGTGGGGGGAGTGGAATAAATCAACCATTTTAAAAATCCGCAATGAGTATGTACAATATGGAACAACACTATTTACAAAAAATATATTTGCTGAAAACTTCCCTCTCCAAAAGGCAGTACCTGCTCCTATTTATAGCTGAGAGAGTCCATGTATGCGTGGGTAAATTACCATAACATATATATATATATATATATATATATATATATATATATATATATATGTATATATATATAGTCCAAATAGACTACTCATTGGCGCGGATACGAACACAGGAAGAATGTGTGTATGTGTGTGTGTGGGTGTGCATGTGTGTATACATATGCATACAAGTTTGTACTGATTCCTTATTATAAGACAGTATGTATATATGGGAAGGGAATTTATATATGCAGGCTAACAGGGATAGAAAGACATCTCTCATCAACACATCTATCATCACCAGCTCTCATACCAAACCTAATGGTTTTATTAACACTTAGGCAGAAATCCACTTTTGCCAATCACCCACAAAGAAGTTCAAAGCTCCCTAACAAATAAAGAAAACGAACAATGAGACATTTTATATTTGAGCGGTAATATCTATTTTATACAAGTTTCATTAATGAACACTGACAAGATACTGGGATGAAGCCTCTTATTCAATATTCCTTGTTCGTATAAAAGGTCTTTTCTCGGCATATAGCTTGTAAAAACTGCCCCAAAATTCTATGTGTACGATCGCTTTCGGCTATTCTATTAGGCATTATCAGTTTTTTTCCTTTTTAACTGAATATGTATATTTTTAATATATGTGTATCTATAGCAAGTTTTTATAATTTTCACAGAGTCATCATAATATTAACTATGAACACGTCCGTCACATCGTCTTCAATAAAAACAATATATATATATATATATATATATATATATATATATATATATATATAACGTACTATATATATATATATGTGTGTGTATATATATATAACATACTGTCTACAACGTTAATTGATTCATCTAGTGATTTTTGCTGATGTTGAATGAGTGGTTTTATTTCAAGCTGAAACTTGTAAAGAAACATTCCGAAAAGATAAGATCCGAGTAATTTCGATTATCGTCAACCATTTTGTAGGAAAAAAAAATTAAATGTCTAGAAATAATGTTTACTTTGATTTAAGTTTAACATTTGAAACACAAGTAATAAAACACACACACGCGCGCGCGCACGCACACACCTACACACACAGACACACACACACACACACACATATATATATATATATATATATATATATATATATATAATCCTCTCGTTATGCGTATAATTCCGATGAGTCTCCTATCTATGAGAATAATAACAAATCATACAGAGCATTATAATTAAGAAACATTTCAAAGAAAAATCTTATCTATCTATCTATCTATCTATCTATCTATCTATCTATCTATCGTAGTCTGTTCAGTATATATCTATCACAGTCTGTTGATCTATCTATCTATCTATCTATCTATCTATCTATCTATCTATCTATCCATCCATCTATCTATCCATCCATCCATCCATCTATCCATCTATCTATCCATCCATCCATCCATCCATCTATTCCATCCATCATCTATCTATCTATCTATCATCCATCTATCCATCTATTCCATCTATCCATCTATCCCAGTCTATCTCCATCCATCCATCTATCCATCTATCTATCCATCCCAGTCTATTCACATCCATCCATCCATCCATCTATCTATCATTCATCTATCTATCCATCTATCTATATCTATCTCAGTCATCCATTCACATCTATCCATTCATCTATCTATCTATCTATCTATCTCAGTCTATTTCATCTATCCATCCATCTATCTATCTATCTATCTATTCATCTATCTATCCATCCCAGTCCATTCTATCTATCATCTATCTATCTATCTATCTATCTATCATATCTATCTATCTCAGTCTATTCTATCTATCTATCTATCTATTATCTATCTATCTATCTATCTATCTATCTATCTATCTATCTATCTATCTATCTATCTATCTATCTCATATATTCATATTCATACCGAACTATGTATCTATTTATTTCAGTCTGTCATATCTATGTCAATGCGTTCATATATATCTATCAATCACCTGCACCCACCTCCTCTCTCTCTCTCTCTCTCTCTATATATATATATATATATATATATATATATATATATATATATATATATATATGCATACACACATATACACGCACAAATAAATATATATACTTTCCTTTTTGAGATTTTGTATCGATGATGAGTTTCCCACATATTTGTCTCGATTTATGTTTTTCGTTATGGAAATATCCGTCTATTTGATTAAACGTCCTAATTTTCCATTTGGCACATTTTCAATTAACACTTTTTGCCAATCCAGATATAATTCGTCGAATATTTATACGCGCCAACATCTGGCTATGGCGTTACATTTTCACAGCTAGACTGATTGCAAAGAGAAATGGTTGGGAAGGACTTGACCATTATCGTCCAAGGCTTGGAGCAACTATTTTATTTAAAGAAGTTTTCGTCAAGGAAATTATTCATTCAATCGTTGGCCCACATGTTTTCATTTATAGTCGAGAACGTTTCTATCTACTGTAAGAATTATTTGGTAGACCAGTAACATATAATTGAAGGATTTCTTCATTATCTCTCTATATATTTATCTAAGTCTATACATGTATCCCAGTCTATTCATATCTATATATCCTAGTCTATTCATATCTATATATCCTAGTCTGTTCATATCTATCTATCTATCTATCTATCTATCTATCTATCTATCTATCTATCTATCTATCTATCCCAGTCTATTCACATCTATCTATCTATCTATCCATCTATCTATCTATATCTATCTATCTATGCCCACTATTCATTCACATCTATCTATCTATCCATCTATCTATCTATCCATCTATCACATCTATCTATCTATCTATCCCAGTCTATTCACATCTATCTATCTATCTATCTATTCATCTATCTCTCTATCTATCTATCTATCTATCCTATCTATTCATTCATCTATCTATCTATTCATCTATCTATCTATCTATCTATCTATATCATCTATCTATCTATCTATCTATGCCAGTCTATTCATCTATCTCATCTATCTATCTATCTATCTATCTATCTATCTATCTATCTATCTATCCCAGTCTATTCACATCTATCTATCTATCTATCTATCTATCTATCTATCTATCTATCTATCTATCTATCTATCTATTATAGCATGTGTGTCCATCTTAATCAATTCTATACAGATATCATATCATTTTCCATCTTTTCAATTCTTTACAGATTTCTTTCATTTTTTTTTTTCTTTCTTTCTTTCTTTCTTTCTTTTCCTTTCGTTTCTTTGTCCATTTTAAACTTTTATTCTTTGTTTCGTCCTTTCCTTTTTCTTTTTTCCATCTTTCCTTTGTCCTTTTCTGTCGTTTTCTCCTTTTTAACCTCCTTTATTTTTTATCTCTGTTTTCTTGTCTTTTCCTTTTTATTTACTGATTTTCTTTTCGCTTTCTTTTTGTCATTTTTGTCTCATTAATTATCATTGATTTTATTTAGAACTAACCCCATCGCTCTGCCGAAAACTTCCATCCAAGCCATAAGTCTGCCATCCAGCCTCAATCTCTCGCATTTGTCTATGTGTTTGTCTTTTTGTATTAGTCTGTGTGGGTCTTTGATTGTCTGCGTGTGCTTTTATTTGTCTCTGTGTGAGTCATTGCGCCTGTATGTGTGTTTGTGTGTGTATGTGTTTTGTGTGTGTGTGTGTGTGTGTGTGTGTGTGTGTGTGTGTGTGTGTGTGTGTGTGTGTGTGTGTGTGTGTGTGTGTGTGTGTGTGTGTGTTTGTGTCCAATCGCGAAATTGAAGACAAATGTAAAGATGAAAATGGTGAGAATCCAATTGCTTGGATCGACAGAAAAGATGAGTTTAAAAATAGACGAATATTCGTGCTTCCATTATTTTCTATTCTCTTCGTCTTCCAGCCTGACGCTCGGCATCAAATTGTCGCGTTTCTTGCTGAGTTGCGACTGTCTTGTCTTTCTCGGTGCAATTTAGAACAACAAAAAGATTTATGTAAAGTCATGAAAGAACGTCAAGTCGTAAAGAAAATGTTTATATGAAGGGAATAGAAATGAAGCTGAACGATTCTGTTTTTCTTTTTAATCAAAAAATAGGAATTTCCTGGCTTCCCCAAATAATAATTTCCTGATTCGACTATTTTATATTAAGAGATAATAATTTCCCCTATGCTGATAATAACTGCAGTTAAAATTACTTCAATATTGCGCACATTCTCAATATTATGGCCATTCCATTTATAATTAATGCTACCTTTTTCGTTATATCATCATTTTCTCTAACATTATGATTCTCACTATGACAACGGCTATTATTACTACTGTTATTGCTGCTGCTGCTTCCAGTATCTGGTCATATTTTGTGAAGTCACGTGAAATGTTAATGTTACACAAATTTGCTTTAGCCCGGAATTGAGACTTATTAAAAATTGTATCACCCTTTTATTACGTTATGGTGACATTTTCTTGCGTGACCTTTTGCCGAATGCTAAAGAAATCTTAGAAGTGTACTTTGCATTTTATTAATTGCATAATCAATCAACTGTAGTAAACGTCTTACAAACTTTTCTGAATACCAAAAGCTGAGAAAATACTTGCAAAGGAACAGAACATCATTTAAACCGTTATCAGTCTATTCTTACTTGACAAGAAAAATGTCATCGGTCATCACACATAAATGGGAATCCAAAACTAAGAAAGTCGTTGTTAGATCCATGACGACCATTAACAAATCGATTTAAATGTGATTTACTAATAGTATTTACTAGTGATAGATTTAGTCTTTGTGTTGAATGAATATCAAAACGAATGAATGACTGGAATGTGGAATCTTTCAAACAATGTTACTTGCAAGAACTGTTAAGCGCACTAACTGTTACCTACGCCAGCTTTAGCCTCCATAAACTGCTTCACAAATTGTTGCTGATATTAAAATTTATTGAAACAGACTTTTATGCATACAAAATCTTAACTGCACAATCTATTGTTTGCAAAAACTGTGATTTACAAACAATGTTGTTTGCAAAGATTACACCCTTGTGCAAATTAATTGAAACAACCGCTTGAGTTTCCTTTCTTTCAACATACGGTGGGTTTTAAACTCACTTGAGTGACAGGGTGTAATCGATTTCTATTTTTTCCTCAGATTAGGTCATTTGCAGTGGTGTGCAGTTATATGAATCTATTTTCGGGGTGTATGTTGAAACTTCTTTGGCCTTGAAAAATAATGTGTCATCCGCGATTGAATCAGATTTTTATCACGCCCAGACACTACTATCTAGTCTGTCGATTAGTTGTCCTACGACTATTGTCTGCGATGAACGTTGCTCCAAAAAACATACGAAAATGTTAACGCTGCACGAACACATTGGCAGGCCTTACCAGTGAGCAAATCTATAGACTGGCCCGGAAACTGCTGATTTAAATCCAATCGAGAACCTGTCGTCAATCTGCAAGGAATGATTTTGTGGAATGGACATATAAAGTACTAACATGTGCACTGGGTCATGTTTCATTGGAAAATACGAAAAAAGTAGATAATAACGGAATAATTCGTTTTGTTTCAATTAATTTGCACAAAGGTGTATTACTTAGACGAACTGGTATTGACACAAATTGTTATTTATATAAACTTTTACTGACAAATTCTTATCTACGCAAACCGCTAATCACACAGAATGCCATTTACACAAACTGTTTAACAAACTGTTAATTACATAAACACTTATTTCATCAAATTGGTACATACACCAACAGTTACTGACACAAATGTTTGCTTACGCATACTTTTATTCGCACCAAATGTTGAAAAAAAAGTTACTTAGCCAAACTTGTCTTTGAGTTAGAAACCATTAAATACCTTGGATTAAAAATTCTTCAGCTTGGATTAGAAATTCTTCAGCTTGGGGGTGTCTGGCTGAGTTACTTGACACTCATACGTAGAAAACGACGGAGAGTCCAGTATATATATATATATATATATATATATATATATATATATATATATATATATATGTCTATATTTCTGAGATGAGGTATTATGTACACTATTTACATTATTCGACTATTTTCCTCACCTTTTTCGCCATTTTTATTACAACGTTTCGGACGTTGTGCGCTTCAGCCTTCTTCAGGTGGTTGGAATGTCGAACTGAACCCTTTATTTCCTTCACTGTGGTAGACTGTTCTAGTTCCACGTGTCATGTTTTCAAAGAAACATGGCACAGTGGATAAAAGCGTTAGTTAGATCCAGTGACAGGAATAATGTAAATAGTATATATATATATATATATATAAGTGAACAGAGAGGCGACTTTGTTTCATGCTAGATTCAATCGTCAGGCTACATTATACATATATATATATATATATATATATATATATATATATATATATATATATATATATATATATATAAACTACTATGATTGTCTATGTAAGGCGATGGTTGAAGTAATGTAGAGACTTGTCCCAAAGTTCAATACCTGGTCACCAGAGGTGAACAAAAACTTAGAAAGTTGAGTTAGTAAAGAGAAAAAACTGAAATCGAGATATCCAGAAAACGTGGAACAAGTGCAATCTATCCCAGTAGATAAAGAGTTCGGTTCGAAATTCCTACGTATATCACCTGAAGAAGGTCAGAGCATACAACGGCCGAAACATCATGAATATGACAATAAAGAGTATAACAGTCCGAACAATGTAAATAGTGTAAATAACTAATGTGTTTACATGCATTTTATGAAAAAAATATCCGCCAATTCTTTAAGGAAAAAAATCATGTTATTTTTTTACGTATTTACGTCTCATGAAACTATTGATAAAGTTAAAAATAAGAAAATATACACCTGATCATGATTGGAGAATATATCAAAGAAAACTTTTCATCAAAACAATACGTTTTTGAATAACTACGTCAATTCCCTTACATGAAATGTTCACTACGGCACTATTACACACAAGTTATATATGCGAGACAATATATGTAAGTTGCATAGTACGTGATAATAAAGTGTTCTATTCTCGAAACACTGACGTAGCAGTTTCCGAGATAACAATGTTACAATTTTGAACATCCGTAAGTATGTAACTTAATGGTTCGAGTGCATTTACAATGGTTCAGAATGTATTCAAGTTTAACAGGGATCTGATGCAATACCCTGTTACCTTTTTGCTATCATGAAAGTATCTATCCGGTTTTATTGATTGAATTCAACACACGATCATATCCAGAAGCACGACACTAATTTCCCTTAAAGACGAAACATAAAAGAGAGACGGAAACATTATTAATTGAACGGATAATCCAAGATTAAGCAATTATTTAAATTATAATTTAGCTAATCTTCTCAGGCACTAGTCTGCTGGGACGAATGAAGATATACAGGGTGTCCATAAAGTTCGTGTGCACTTTAAAAAATTTATAACTTTATTTGTATTTGCGATAGAAATAATCTGTAAAAAATGTTATAAAGTTTAATGTACCTAGTTTTAAGTATAGCTAAAATTACTAATGTGATTTCAGGCATTACTTTAAATCAGTTGGCAAATGTTTTCCCTGAACTGCAAAATCGTATTACCCTTTGCATTGCTAATGATGGAGGACATGTGGAAACTTAAATAAAATTTCAATAAAACTTTAAAAAATATAGATTTACTTCTTTCTAATCCTTTTTACAAATTATTTCTATCGCAAATACAAATAAAGTTATAACATTTTTAAGGTGCATACGAACTTTATGGACACCCTCTATATTTGTAATCATATGATGGGTAAAAGTGTGAGGTAATGTTTCATCAAGGAGTCGTTATGGAAGAAAATTCATCCAGAGCTTATGAAAAAGGGGAACGTAATTCACCACGGTGGGGCATTACAAAGTGAAACCGATGATTCATGATGCAGGATTTATTAAGTGTTTGTGAATGGCTACAATCAAGCCTTATTAGTGCAGACTATCAACAAATATAGCATTATCGACAGCAGCAACTTTAAAAAAAAATGAATGTAATCCTAGCGTAAGCCTAGACTGAATCGCAGGCATCTCTAACTATAATTTTTGATTAGAGGCTTATTTACTGCCTGAAGAGTAAACTTGTGTGGGCCCTTAAGTTTGTCTGCTGCAGTAGAAGAAATGGTAGACAGGTGGGCGCCATTTTTCACCAGGAAATAGATACCGATTGCTTAGTACCATGTAAATAACTAGTGACAGACTTCTTCATAGCTAGAACACCACGTGGCTTTTGGTTGCCAGCTTTTCTTGATTTGATTTGAAAGAAAAGAATCTCTTGACAATCATGTTTTTAGGCACGAACTTTTTTTGGTGGGTGTTGGGGGGGGGATGGCTAAAACAAACAAAAATGATGATACAGGTGACGGCTATGTTAAAAAAATGTGTCAACATCACCACAAGGATAAAAGGTAGTTTTCAAATATGAGATAGATGT